ATCTAAAAATGGCGTGTGTTTTCTTGCCATTTTCACAGAAGTAGACAGGAGGACCAATCTAGGAGTTTTAATGCAGGGAACCTTAAAAAAAGAAAGTCTCTAACTTCTTTATTTTCCTCCTGAACTGGATGCAATCTGCAGGCCTGGTGTGGGAATAAATCATGCCAAATTCCAGAAAAATGGGTGAAGTGGATCTCCCACATATCATGATTCTACCATTTTAGAGTGGGAAAAGAAAAATTATGTTTCTGTTTAATGTAGAAAATCCCTGATCCACTTTCAGATGACTTGTTAACTGTGTGATTGACTAAGGAAGTTGAGAGCATGACCTGAACCACCCTGATTTGCCTTGTCATTTGGGATGCAGAGATCCAGTGCAGATCCCTAACATTTAACATGGCTGATAAAGTGAACTCTAGCCCATAAAAGCTCATCCTATTATTATTATTATTATTTAAATCTTCAGTGTGCCACAGTGTTGTTTATTGGTTTTCTTAATGCCAAAACTGACATGCAAATCTACTCTATAATGGCCCAGTAATTACCCCCAGATGCAATCAACATTGTCCCAATAGGAATTTGTTTATGACCGCACACAGAATATGCTACTGAATGTGTTGTGATTGATTTCCTACCATCATTGTTTCTGCCTGATGGTTGCTTGGTTCCTTTTCCTTTCCTTTTCCTTTTAGCATGAACTAATTCCATCGGAACATCTCACAGTGGTAATTAAGATGTAAATCTGGAATTGTGTGACTTGGGGCAGGGCAGTTAAAATAAGTTTTACTGCGATGCATTTAAAGCATTAAATAGATTCTGCAAAAGATTAACTACCAATTTCCCTTTTGTCAGAATGAAACATGGAACATTTCTGTTATGATAACAAGCATGGAGGAATTTCACAGAGGGAGAGGTGCTGACATTCATATTCACAGTACTTATACTTGTAAAATTTTGTCAGCGTGCCTAAAATATTTCTCATTATCAACAACACTTTTGTACCCTTTAGCCTTCATATGAATAGTAACTTATCTTTAATACTTTAATTCACTTTTTCTTTCCTTGCTTTACCCCCCTCCCAGTTAATTTTGTTTCATATCACTTAATTGTTCAATATGTATGCCAAAATTGATATTGTCTACTGCAGGCGCTGCCAGCTATCACCCAGAGCAAGTCTATGTTGTACCTGGAAGCCTTACCAAATTTTATTCAAGGTATGGTGAAGTGTGTGTGTGTGTGTGTGTGTGTGTGTGTGTGGTCTGTCTTCTGTCTGTCTTTCAAGAGATTCTGCACTTGTTCCATTTTTCTTTTGGGGGGATTGTATTAAACATAGTGCCCTGGTGCTGTCTGTGTGTACATGTTCCATAACTGCGAAGCCCTCATAATTCAATCATGCAAAATTATTGAGCTACACCACCTATATGGGATAGGTAGGGCCAGCCCCACTATTAGACAGAGGAAGGTAGTGACCTCAGGGTGGAGGGTCATTTTGAGTGTCATGAAAGGGCAGCAAATTGTTATTGATTCCTACTGTAGTTTTACTCCCAGGGAGACACATTTTGGGATTTTCAGCCTCACGTACCAAAATAACTCAGCCAACTTTGCATACTGTGCACTTTTATTTGGGGGGAGGTATACAATTTTCTGCTCTACTGAGGCAGCCAAATGTGATCCTCATAACAGAGGGTCCTGGTTACGCGCAGGACCCAAGAGCTCACCTGCAGGGTTAAAATGGGGGGGGGAGGAGGAGGAGCAAGAAGTCCTGGCCACTCCCCTGGGATCACGCCAGGCGATTTTAGCCAATAGCCAGTGGGTGGCGTGATCCCAGGGGCTATAAAAACAGCAGTGTGATGCAAGGAGGGGCACTTGCTTCACACTGTTGAACACCCGCCCGCCCACCCTCCCTAGTTTAGGCCTTGCTTTGGCTTGGGTCGCCTGTTTTGGAACAGGGGCTGGGTAGGAATTTTTCCATTTGGCAGATTGGCTTTAGCAATTTGGTTTTCGCCTACCCCTTAGCAAATCGTCACAACTTGTATGGTGGCAGTTAGGCATTGGCTCAGTTGGATTGTGGGGAGGGGAGGTGCGGCCATCACCTGCTCCTCCAGGAACTGGGTATTCCATTAAAGGAATCTGGGGGTCCTAGATCTCGTCCGAAGTCCGCTTGAGGGGCTAGGGCTATGCCAGGACCACAGGAACCCCAGGGTGAGCTTAGGTTGGTCCACATCGACCTAGCTCCCTCGTTTGGTTTACCCCATTGGATGATCACCCTGAGAGGTGGAGTCAGTTATAGTGGGGAGTCAATGCCTAAGCCAATACCGCTCACGTGATTGTATTTCAATAAAATTGTGGCCAAAATTTGCCCCAAAACTTAAACTAATATAAGTGTCCATGTGTATTTATTTTGGGGGTGGGTGGGTCTTGGGGCCTCGAGACACAAATGTCTTGACCCAGCCATAGCAGCATTTTTACACATAACAAACCAAAATAAACTAACTTCTGTTAGGGGGGCTGAG